TGTTAATTTTACCTGTTTAATCAAAAACTTACTCATTTTACAGGTTTGGGGGATTCGATGGTGTAATTTGTTTCATTTCCAGCAAAGTATTGGGACATTTGACATTTTGGTTATTTTCAAAGTGTTTTAAGAATCAATTACCATCTGAAACTTGGAAAGCAACGGAAGTTTTCAAAACCCCATGCCTGTGCGTGGGAATTTAAAAGAGGGTTGGAAAAAGGATTAGCTCTTTTTATTACTCAACTGTGGCAATCCTGATATGGATCGGTCCTCTATGAATTTAGAGTAAAGAAACACAGGTCATGGTGCTGTGTGATACAGTTTTTTGATTTGAATGCTTGATTTGATTATTATTTATTATCTTTATTGAACCTAGCCTTCTTTCATTAAGTGAGTCAATAAGAAGTGCTCGAGTTAAGAAATATGGGTTTTGATGATTTTTAAAAACAATTTTAAAAATTTGGTTTAAAAATATATATATCCCAAGCTTAGATTTGTGTGTGTGTGATAGAGAGAGAAAGAAAGACTAAACTATACTATAGTATAAGTGATAGAATACCTCTCTCTTTAAATTCACCTTGGATTCTGCCTAGAGTCATCTGTCACACCTAGAATGGCCATTGATTTTTTTTTTCTAGGAAAAGAGGATGAGAGAAACAAAGAAGGGTGATGATGGAAATTTGCAAATTGTGTTTGTGTACATGTGAATTTAACAAACAGGTGCCTGCTTCACATTATTGCTTTCAAGCCTCACTTGTTCAAACGTTGGGAGAATAGTTCTAATATGAATGGAGTACAAAAGGCCAGGCTCCAGCAAAATGTTAGAGAAATTATTAACTCCTTACTACAACAAATTTTTCTGCCCAAATATGATAACCCTAACAGAGAGCAGACAGAAGCTCAACTTGCACAAGAAAGATGCACAAAGGTTGTTTTCTCCAGAGCAGGGAGGTGGAGACCAAACTTTTAAAAACAACACAACCCCTGTTTATCTCTGCCCCGGGGGTGGGATTCTACCTAGTAGGATCAGTTCTATAAAACCAGTTGTTCCAATTCTGCGCAGTTCAGAGAACCGGCAAATCACTCCACTGGCTTGCCCCTCCCCTCCCACTCACTCCTTACCTGGCATGCACACCATCAAACTTGCCTGTGTTTGGTAAGTTGCTACTTTTCCTTCCCCCCCAACCATCAGCTGGTTTGCTATGCCGGGAGATTTAGATTAGCTAGAAAGCAGGAAATCATTGGATTTCTTGCCTTCTATCTAATCTAAAAGCAGAGCTGAACCTTCCTTAGGACTGAAGCTTCTATTTTTCAGTGCAGACTCAGGTAGCAGATTGCAGAAAGATAAATCTCTGAGTGAATCTGTGATTCTGTGAGGAACTCAATCTGCCTGCCTGCTTTGCCTGATTTTGGGTGAAAGTTACTCTTTTTTAACAAAAGATTCGATATTTACATAAATATTTATAATATTTACATACAAGCCATGCCCAGCCAGCCACATGACCACCAAGCCATGCCCAGTCAGCAAGCCATGCCTTCCCAGTCACATGACCACCAAGCCACACCCACAAATTAGGCCATGCCCACAGAACAGGTTGTTAAGAAATTTGAATCCCACCCCTGCTTTGCCCTATCTTCACATTGACTGCTACTGTCATTTTTTGCTGATTATAGTACAGAAGTTAGGAATCTTTTGGAATTGTCATACACATAGTGTGTGCAATTCTGTAAATATTTCTGAAGGGTGCATCTTTCTCATTGATCTACTCTTCCCCCATCCAAATTTTAGCTTCACTGACTGCTTTGCATAAAAGGAGTATTTTTCTTCTCTGTATGTATACATAAGTAAATATATACACATAAATACCACAAATACCTGTACCTGTTAAGTCATTGAGCTTGTTGGTTATTAATCATTTTGAAAATTAGTGATTTGGCAAAAGCACAGCCCTTTGGCACATAAAGTAGGATTTTTAAAAAGTGTATGTGGAACAATAACACAAAAGCAAAATCTCAAGGCAGCAGGAGTCTCTCAATCTCATCTTAATATTTAGAATCAAGGTTGTTAAGCAAGTGTTCTCAGAAGAGGATTATAGATAGCACATCAGCCGGATATCATGTGCAAATCAAATGTTTTTCATGCCAGGGCAGAAACCCAGAAGAATTTTACACATGCACGTTTGTTACTTGGGGACTGATACATTACAGAATTTATTGATCCAGAGAGGAAAGCAAGTTCAAGAGTTGGCAAAACCAAGACCGAAGAGGACAGATGTTTTTCCAGAATTCTGTCTACAGAATGGCAAGCCATCAAGGAAATAGGGAGAAGAGAGTGAGTAAAGTCCAGTCAAACCTCAGAAGACCTTTTCTTCATACCTGACATTGAACATTCTCTCTCTCTCTCTCTCACACACACACACTCAGAGAATCTACCAGTAAACCTGCCCATTATTTTTTAAAATATCTTTTTAAAATGTCATTTTAAGAAATCTAGATTTTAAGAGAGTTCTGACTTGATTGTGGCAGGATACAAAAAATACCACACTCTTTAAAACACATGCATGTGCCTCACAATCTCAAGAAAAGAGACAGATTCTTTAAGGCAGAGGCAGAGTTTTTTCTATGGACCAGACGGAGGAGTGTGGTTTTGTGTGCTGCCTACATCCTATGGATGGGGCTTCATTTTTTGGCACAGCCTGGTTTCTGGCATGCCATGGACCATTACTGGTCTACAGCAGGGTGGGATTCAAATTTTTTTACTGCCAGTTCTATGGATGTGGCTTGGTGGACGTGGCATGGCTTGGTGGGCATGGCTTGGTGGATGTGGCAGGGGAAGGATACTGCGAAATCGCCATTCTCTCCCCACTCCTGGGGGAAGGTTACTGCAAAATCCCTCCCCATCCTGCTAACCTTCTTTCCAGCTCATTCTCCTGTGCAGGGCAACAAAAGAAGTTCCAGCCAATCAGCTAGGACTCGGGAGGCAGAGAATAGATGGGGGTGGGACCAATCAGAGGTGGTATTTGCCGGTTCTCTGAACTACTCAAAATTTCTGCTACCGGTTCTCCAGAACTGGTCAGAAACTGCTGAATACCCACCTCTGGTCTACAGAGCATAGGTTGGGGATCCCTGTTTTAAGGGGTTGCTAACAGATATGATATCAGTGTCCTTGCATCACTCCCCATCACCTTTCCTCTTGAAATCCAGAATCTTGGCCAGCTATCTAGAGACCTACAAAAACCAGTTTTTTTTTAAAATCCTGACAGGGAATAGGTCCAAACCATTTTTGTGATATCAGTGGAAATCTGGTTTCAAACAAAACAGGCACAGCGCAAATTGTTGCAATACAGATCCTTCAAGTGGAGCATCCTGCAACTGTGTTAGTAAATAAACGTGTGTTGTTACAATTATTTTTTAAAAAATTATAAAACCTCTCAATAATCTGTGGCCGACTAAGACAAGAGACTTAGCAAAATGAAGCAGAAAATGTTGTTTTGTTCACACACAAAAATCACAAATCACAGAAACCACAGAACAGAAAAAAGCAAGCATATTTTAGCAAACCTTTTTCTCCACTGGCAAGAAAAATAACACGAAAACATCCCTGTCACAGTTCGGAGATGATAGATGCATTAGGCCAATCAACACATAGGTGACTTTTCTGCCAAATTGTCAGGTCTACTTTTTTCTCCTTTAATTCTGGGAATCGCTGATATTTACACAATATCTCCATGTCTTTTATGCAGGAGAAATATATGTCTTTTAAGTGAACCCCGCTCCATGTTTCCTCAACTATTTCTAGAAATCCTATCATTTTTCTCCTACCAATCCTTAGTTCCCATTACAAAATCATCACGTTCCCTGTGGTGGGTGAAAATTTTATTTTTACTTTTGTTAGTTCTGTATCCTGCCCTTTTTCCCAGGAGATCAAGGAAATACACAAATGTGCTCTATAGCAATCTCAAGAGGTTAATTGTTAACTAAGACCTACCTGTATCAATAATAATGGTCCCTAAGAGGCTGGGGTGGCTAACTGTTGTTTTGAATGGAGATACTTAGTTTGCTACCATAGGGCCAGTGCTGGTATTGCTCATTACAGGAGGCCACAGTTCTTTTTTTGTCGGTGCCCTTTTTTTTGTAGAGTGCTTGTCTTCTCTTCTCCGTGTGGCAAGTCCTTGAATTGGGTGGAGGTAGCAACTCACCTTTGGAAACCAATGGCAACTGCTTCTGATGATTGCTGGACAGCCCCAACCTTGGGTGACTGCAGGTTTTAAAGCAGTGGTTCATCAGGTAACTCCAGAGTAGGCTGTCTCCTCATTTGAGCTCACCATGGCACAACTCAATGAACCAGTATTTTTTCCCCTTTCCCTGATTCCAGATAAGATTAAAGACAATGTACAGTTTTCACCTAATGCAAGATGAAACTGTATTCAATGTACAGTTTTCACCTAATGCAAGATGAAACTGTATTCCAGCCAAAGAATTTTGAAGGGATCTGAGAACACAAGTTTAAGTAAGTCATTTGGAACATGCTTGCCATCACTTTCTGTGTAAATAAACCTCTGGATTAACCTGAGCCGCACTGATGCCATTACATAGTAAACATTGCGGCTCTTGTCTCTGAAAATACAGGGGAAAAAGAGCCGTAGTCTAATTTAGTTGATTGGTGTTTAGCTAATGCTGGCCTCGGTAAACGGGAGTGGTTTATTTCATGAAATTATTATGTGACATTGGAGCTGTCAGTTGTGGGGCATTAATTGACATCTTGTATCAGGTTAGGTTAATAATCTCCAGCTTGGTTCTGCTTGAGCAGACCTCCATGCCTGCAGATAATGAAAACATAGCCTCCAGGGGAGCACAGTTAAATTCTGTATGACCAATAGATTTGTAGGGCCATCTCACCATAAGCAGAAGTAGAAGTTCTTGTGTCTTCTGACTGAACGGTCTTTGGCAAGTTGTGTTCCTGGAAAGCAAGGCTGTAAACCCAGTCTAACTTCTTGAAGATGCCTGCAGCGATCGAAGAGAGTCCAGATGTCAACATCGTCAATCCTACAAATCAAAAAAAGATGTCGTCGGGTGTGGAGAAAAAACATAGAGATCTACAGATACCTGCTTGTTTCAGGAACCTCTCTCAAGAAGAGCCTAAGAAGACTTTCCCACACACTAAACAAGTTGGGGATTACCTAGTAGGCAAAGTGATCAACAAGGGTTCTTTTGCCAAAGTGATGGGGGGACTGCACATTCTCACTGGGGAGAAGGTAATCCGAGCATGGTTATATGAGTCCGATTGGCAACTGCATTCATCTCACGACAGCATGTGATAATTCATGAATTCTCTTCTCTTTTCTTGTTTGTTCATAGGTTTACTCAATTACGGTAGCGATGCTCAAGTGACAAGTATAAAAGTAATGCACTGACTTACTTTTCTTAAGTTCCTAAATAGCATTGGAAGATAAGGATATATTTCATACAATATATGCTCTATAGGTTTGACTCCACTGTGCGTTTCCCCCAACTGGGTGATTCTGTTGATATTTGAGTATATCCAGAGCATTTCAAGGGACTTTAAAAAATCTGTGAGTGCAGTAATAGCAAATTTGTTCAGTCCCCCATGGAAATGTTTGCACTCAAGTTATCTATAAGAAATGTACAAAATGGTATCTGAATATGTACCTAGAAAGAAGTTTGCTAAAACACTTACATATGTCTCAAATGTTACCATAGAACTGCATATTGGTACAAACAATGGCCTGATTGCATCGCTGGTCTTAAGAATTATGCATGTTTCTTTTAGTAGTCTGGATTTAATATCTGAATGCCATCCATGGTGATAATCAACTATTGTTGAGCTTGTTTATTTGTATTTACGAAATGGGATGGGTTGTTGCCAAATTACAGGGGGAATTACTTGCATCATGAAGGATTCATTCATTTCTGTGATTTAGGTAGCCATAAAAGTTATTGACAAGAAAAAGGCTAAGCAAGACTCATACGTTTTAAAAAATATGAAGCGGGAGTCTCGGATACATCAGATGATTATGCACCCTAACATAGTTCAGCTGTACGAAACTTTGGAGACGGAGAACTCGTATTACATGGTGATGGAGCTGTGCCTTGGAGGGGACCTCATGGACAGGATATGTGAGAAAAAGAGGCTAGATGAAGAAGAAGCAAAGGAATATACAAGGCACATCATGGCTGCTGTAGACCATCTGCATCACCATGGCATTGTCCACAGGTAGACAATGCTGTCTCTTTTTAAAGTACGGGTGGGAGGATAATGTGTTTTATAAACTGGTGTTTTTACAGGGAGTCCTTTGACTTACGACCACAACTGAACCCAAAATTTCTGTTGCTAAGCGACACATTTGTTAAGTGAATTTTACGACTTTTCTTGTCACCATTGTTAAGTGAATCACTACACTTGTTAAATTAGCACCACAGTTGTTAAGTGAATCTGGCTTCCCCATCAGTGGTGGGATTCCAAACATTTTACTACTGGTTCTGTGGGCATAGCTTGGTGGGCATGGTAGGGAAAGGTTACTGCAAAATCCCCATTCCCTTCCCACCCCAACTAACCTGCTTTCCAGCTCCGTTCTCCTGTGCAGGGCAACAAAAGAAGACCCAGCCAATCAGCTGGGACTCAGGAGGCAGAGAATAGATGGGGGCGGGGCCAGTCAGAGGTAGTATTTACCGGTTCTCTGAACTACTCAAAATTTCTGCTACCGGTTCTCCAGAACTGGTCAGAACCTGCTGAATACCACCTCTGTTCCCCGTTGACTTTGCTTGTCAGAAGGTTGCAAAAGCAGATCCCATGACCCTGGAACGCTGCAACCGACATAAATGTGAGTCAATTGCCAAGCATCCGAATTGTGATTCCATGACAATGGGAAGCACTGCAACAGTCGGAAGTGTGAAAAACGGTCCTAATTCACTTTTTAAAATTCATTTATTTGTTTGTCAAACATGTTCAAAATAACAAGTATAAATATGAACATAACTTATAGCAAGGACAAAGGAAGTAAATACAAATAAAGGGGGACAGTAAGACAGAGAAGATAGGCATGCTGGTGCACTTATGCACGCCCCCTTTAAGGACCTCTTAGGAATGGGGTGAGGTAGACAGTTTGAGGTTGAAGCTCTGAGGGTTTGAGGCTGTAACAATGGAGTCGGGTAGAGTGTCCCAGGCATTGGCCACTCTGTTGCTGAAGTCGTATATTCTGCAATTGAGTTTGAAAGGTCACTAAATGAACTGTTGTAAGTCGAGGACTATAGTGTAGTGTGTTGGGTTTCAATGACTTGCCTTCGTTTAAGAAAAGCTAGGCTAGGATGAATTGTGTCATGGAGCTCCTCATGATTCTTGTCAGCGAACATTAAGTTTACCTGACTAGGCTGGATGAAAAAAATAGTGATCAGTCCAAATGTGGTAATTTTACCCTGCTTCAAAGCTGATTAGCAATTATTATCTGACATAAAAACATTTAAAAAATGAATTAATGAGGGTCAGGTGTACATCCATCTTCTGAGTTTGTTTTTGGATTGCTATAAGTTGTAACAAAAATTTGAAAGAGGAAATGAGAGTGTTTATTTAAATCCCTCTTTCGGAAGTATGCTTCATATGGGAGATGAATTGAGATACTGTCAAATAAACGGATATTCTTACATATTGGGGTCAATAGCATAATATTATATATTTGTTCAGCCACTTATAAAAGTTTTTGGGTTTCCAAGATTGTTGAAGAAGCTGTATGGAATGTAGGAAGTTAGAAGAGGAGAAAAAGTAATTAATTGGCATAGGCCATTCATAACTTACGTAAAATGTAAGGGGAATATAGCCACAGAAAATAACTGATTGATTGACTTTATTATTTTAAAAAATCATAAAAGGTTAAAGAAGAGTAAAGTAACAACAGCAGGTTGAAATGGTTGACAATTGAATTTTACTTTTAATTCTTGTTTTTCATTTTTGTTTTTTTCTAAAATCTTGTGAGATTACAATAGTCAGTTGTATAATAAAACATATTAAAGATACGGAAGAAGTAGCATAATTTTTAATGTTTTCCTGGTGAAACAGTCTGGAAAACTCAAAAAACCTTTTCGGAATTTATTTATTGTTATTTTTCTTGGCTATAATAATAATAAAAAGACTATAGGTTCTTTATTTTTTACAAGAATGTATGGATTTTCAAATATCACCTATGCCTCATTTAGTCTTAGATGGAATCACTTACTATTATTGGATAAGATACTAAGTGAGGGGGAAAAATCTTTCTCCTTGCCTAAATTCTTCTTGACTAAATCTGCTATTTGCCTAAGTATGGAACTGAACAGGAAATAAAACTCCATCTAATCTTTACATCATGTGATATTTTAATTACAGAATTTGTACCTCCTAATCCAGGGATGTTAAACTTGTGGCATCACATTGCCACATACATATTGTGACTTCCCTCCCCCACGCTAAAATGAGGGAGGGCGTGGCCAGTGCGTGATGCATCTGGCCCACGGGCCACTCATTTGACACCCCTGTCCTAAATCTTTAGAAGATTTACTATAGTATAATACCTATACACCAGAGGTGGTATTCAGCAGGTTCTGACCACTTCTGGAGAACTAGTAGTGGACATTTTGAGTACCGGCAAATATCACCTCTGACTGGCCCTGCCCTCATCTATTCTCTCCCTCCCAAGTCCCCGCTGATCGGCTGGGTCTTCTTTTGTTGCCCTGCACAGGAGAATGGAGCTGGAAAGCAGGTTAGTGGGGTGGGGAAGGAATGGGGATTTTGCAGTAATCTTCCCCCAGGAGTGGGGAGGGAATGGAGATTTTGCGGTATCCTTCCCCTGCCATACCCACCAAGCCACACCACATCCACCAAGTCATGCCCACAGAACCAGTAGTAAAAATTTTTGAATCCCACCACTGCTATACACTTTCCAAGATTACACTTCTTGTGAATTTTGTAAAATGGTTTGTTAACTTTTACAAAGCCCATGTACAGGGAGAACTTGACTTATGAGCACAATTGAGCTCAACAATTCTGTTGCTAAGGGAGATTTTTTCTTAAGTGAGTTTTGTCCTGTTTATGACCTTTCCTGCCACACTTGTTAAGTGAATCACTGCAGTTGTTAAATTAGTAACGTGGTTGTTAAATGAATCTGGCTTCCCCATTGACTTTGCTTGTCCAAAGGTCGCAAAATGGGGATCCTGTGATCCTGGGACACTGCAACAATCATAAATGTGAACCAGTTGCCAAGCATCCAAATTTTGATCACGTGACCATGGGGATGCTGCAAAGGTCATAAGTGTGAGAAATGCTAATACATCATTTTTTTCAGTGCCATTGTAATTTAGAATGGTGACTAAATGAACTCAAGTACTAAGAGTACATTGCTGGAAAATAGGTACACTGCGACATTGTCTTATGAAAAGCTGCATGCAATCAATATGATCATCAGGAAGTAAAATAGATATGCTTGTACTATTACATTTGAATATATTTTAAATCATAAAGAATAATGAATATTATACATATTTTGAAGCAGAATTTCTGGCTCACATTAAAATATTAAATAAATCGGAGAGGGAAATTGAAATAGTTTTTCCAGACTGAGAGAGAGAGAGAGAGAGAGTAGTAAAGAAGATTGTGTCTCCAAAATCCTTGTCCTTAAAGCTCTTATTTTAACAATAAGAGTTCAGCTGGGCGTTTTGGGCCAATTGTTATTTTTTAACCTAATGTGTCTCCTGGTCACTGTTGTGGGATCCCTTGAGAAGAGACATTTGCTTCCAGAACTCAGGCAGATATAAAGGCCATGTGTGTGATATATGTGTGTGTGTGTGAGATTCAGTAAAGCTCTAAGGAGCCATCAACTATATTCCTACAAATATCATTAAGCAGGCATTTTGTGAAAAACCTCAGTTATTGATAGTTGCAGTGCAAATCTTACGTTTCAAGACACTGTATTTACTTTCAGTTTTTCCTTCTTTAGAGATCTGAAGATAGAAAATTTTCTTCTGGATGAAAACAATAGCATTCAAATTGTTGGTAGGTACTGTAGATATGAAGCTCCTGTTGATCATTTTGCAGCAACATGTCCTGTAAAGTATGTGTAACATATAGATTTATGTCTTCAATTAATTGAGGCATTTGGAAGGTTTTGTGGATTCCTGAGTGGGTTTTGATCAACAACCCTAACCCTTGGTGCAAGTTGATAGGCTGCCTTGTTGTTGTAAGTGAAAGATTACTCCAGGGCCTTTCCACCATTCCTTGAGAAGATCTGCCACAGATGCTCTTTCATATTAACTGAGAAGCTTGGGCTGCAGTTCAGGGTAAAATATTTCCATCAGATATGATGAACAACATCTGCAGAAACTCTCTACATGATGTGCTAAAACTACTTTTTTAACATGTTGGATGTGCTGGAAAGAGGAAAGTACATAAAGGCCATAACACTTATTCTTGTTCTTTCCACTTTTCTCTTCTTCCTGCCATATTTTTGTTAGGAAGAAAAAAAAGTGTATTGCTTTATACATTATAGTACTTTCCCTCATTTTTGCATGTGTTTTGATGGGTGAAATGCGGACATACGTTTCCTTTTAAAATGTCATCACCAGCATGATCTGAAAAGGGGCTATCACAACTTGCTATGGTCAGCTCACTGTGGCCAACTCATCATGGCCAACTCACCACCAGACAGCTCACCGTGGCCAACTCACTGCGGAACAACTTGCTGTGGGACAAGAGTTATACTAATATTGAAGAAATAGTGGAATAGTATCATTAAAGAAAGGATGCCAAAAGAGGGACAAAATGAAATGGAAATGACAAAAATTAAAATAATTTTCAAATTATTTTAAATAATTTAATTGAATTGTTGAATTGTCCCGCATCAAGTTGTTCCTTGGCACGTTGGCCATGGTAAGTTTTCCTGCTGTGAGTTGGCCATGGTGAGCTGACTTTGGCAAGTTGGCCATGATGAGTTGGCTGAAGTGAGTTGACCATGGTGAGTTGGCTATGGTGAATTGTCGCATTCCATCTGAGAAAGCTCACATGGATGATGGGTGATGCCTTGGGGCCATTGGGGCCTGAACATTTAGATAGGTACTGGTATTGATGCTGGGAAAATACTGCTGCAATATCTTCAAATACCTTTCCTTGGCTATAAAGCTACAAATAAAATCATGAATTCCCTGAAATTGGTGCAGTTATTTTTAACCTCACTATTTTAAATTGTACCTAATAAAAAAGTATAAAATCAAGTAACCACAATTTTTTTTCTCTAAATTAATATAACACATAGCCTCAAAGCTTCTTCTATTCCCATATACCCTGGTTATGCATACAAAATGTAGTAGATGGGCTAAAAAAGAAACAATCTCGAGAAGCTTGCAATTCAATACACAGCTATTGTCCAAGCATCTTGCATGAATCAGGCCATCATGTTAACGCATCATGAGTTATTCTGAATGCATATTCTGTGCCGTCTCCATCGGAGCGTTGTGTAAACCTCCATAGGTTACCATTGATTCTGTCTGCACCGTCCCAAGGGAAGTACAGCTACAATTTGGGAAACCCTGTTTTAGAACATTGTTTAAATCGATTTTCTATATGATTAAAGCTGCTAGAGTTTGTCATGCGGGCTGTTAAGAATGAAATGTCTGTGGGTTTTTTTTTTGCCTGTCTGTTTCTTCAGATTTTGGACTGAGCAATATCATAAAGTTTCAGGGCCTTTCCCAAGAACTGTTAAATACCCAGTGTGGGAGTCCAGCTTATGCAGCCCCAGAACTCTTAGCTCATAAGCAGTATGGGCCAAAAGTGGATGTCTGGTCCATGTAAGTAGATTATAAATGTTTCTATCTCTCCTACCACACTTTTAGGGAGACAAAACGCTGTATAATGTACTCTGCATAATGAGAACCGTTTTCTCTCTGTTACATCACCTAAAAGCCTGGTTTACCCAGAGTGAGATGATGAGCTAGAATAATAAAATACAAGGAAAATAAGCATGCTATTCCAAGATGTTGTTATAAAATAAGCCAACCTCTGACCGCATAAACATTTTTCCTACCAGTTGTTTTTATTTTAAAAAAGAGGGGTTAATGCAAACCAGTAAGATGTCAGTGTCTTTTCCTTGGGGATTTAAAGAGTTCTTGATAATCTTTGCCAACAATGAGATCATGAATTCATTTAAAAAACGTATAGAGACCTCAAATACTACTGTAATAATAAGATTGTAAGAAATACTAAACAATGTTATGAAAACTGGGAAGTTGATAAAATGTACAATTTACCCAGAACTTCTACAAGCTTATGCTATATGGACACTGAATCAAACAAGAGGAATATCCTGGAAGGATTAATACTATCATACCCAACACTGTAACCCAGGTTTTATTTTTTTATGAAGGAATAGAGAAGAGAGAAAACTGTTTTTCTCCCCTAGATTTTGCTTTGGCTTTTCTTGTTCTGTTGATGTATGTAATAAATGGCTATAGCAAGGGTCCCCAACCCCTGGTCCGTGGCGTTGCCCAGGTATTTATTTATCCCAATCCTGTATTAGACAGGAAAATCCTGTAGTCAGGACTCACGTTTGTTGTACTGTCTCTGGTGCAGTATCACAGAGTCTTCTATTCTCTCCTTGGGAGTTTCTTGTCTATGCTGGTGTTTTATTTTTGTAGTAGCATTTGATTGCACTTGGCCAATCACCTGATGTTTCCTTGGAGGGCTGAGAGGGAGCCCCCTTATGGAGTACTGTGAAGCTGTTACCATGACAAGTCCACTGTGCTGTACAGTAGAAGCCATTTTAAAGCACACACAAACTTCGAGGGGTGTTAGAGGTGATTTACCCCTACAGTATTTGTTTCCAGAGAGTAAGTTGAAATTGCTCAAGCCATTACAGAGTTATGCTGGAACATATATACACACACATACATCCATTTATCCATTTTTATAGAGAGAGAAGATAGAAGATGTATAGATAACTCACCCATTTTTGCTTGGTATAGCAAGTCCCAATGATGAAAAGGTTTGATACACAAAGGGAGTGGGGAATGAATTGGGTCATCTTCATAGCCATTCTGTGTTGTCTTCTCCATGGACAGAGGAATCAGCACATTTGCCATGCTAACTGGCACTCTGCCTTTCACCGTGGAGCCATTTAACATCAAGCAACTTCATCTCAAGATGATTAATGGAGAAATGAACGCCATCTCTCCCAACATTTCCTCTGGTAAGGGATGGTTTATTTTATATTTTAATATAAGATATGACAAATATAAAACCTGCTGTTTTAGATTATAGCCATTGTCCAGGCTGGTTCAAATTCTGGAAGTTGTAATCCAAACACATCTGAAAGACACCAAGTTAAGACAGGCTTACAGTATATTGCTGCAATTTCTGTGTAACACAGCAAGTAGTGCCAATTAGGCACAGCTTTTCTTCAGGACAATGAGTAATTGATAGAATTTCTATCCTGTCCTTTCTCTGAGAGCTCAAAATAACCTACACAGAGGACTTTTTATCTCCACAACTGCCCAATCTGGCTGACAAGAGGGACGAACTGAATTACCAGTGAATTCTGTGATTTTGAACACGGCTCCTGTTGGTCTTTGTACTGCAAGGACAATATAGGAAGCACTAGATGACTCTGATAATCCAGTTTCTCCAGCTGAAATTGCTGATGACTCTCTTCTGGATTGGTTTATATTCACAATAATCTTAAATTCATCCTATATATCATAAATCAATAAATAACAAAATAATCAAATGGTTTAAATGGAAGTGGCCAAAGGTCTAGGAAAATAGATTTGAATGCAGTCCACCCCCCGCTTTCTTTTCTAAAATATTAACTTTTTAAAGTAATGTTGGCTTTTTGCCTAGATTTAAGGGAAGAATAAAATGCTTTGACTCCTCAGCATTTGAACTGGATCATTTATCCATAATAATTGGCTCTGGGATTTCTGGAAAGATGAATAGAAAAAAGGTTATCAATGAGGAAGTACATTTTACATCTGTATGAAAGCCAATTACAAGAACAGGTCTACTAAAAGAGTATCATTGTTGAAGTGAATAGCTTTCCCCTCAGAAATTTAAATTCAGAAATGATTTCTCCAATTTCTCCGATGTCAGAAATGTTGACTTTGGTAAGTTTTTCTTCCATGACGATGTTGTCAGGAGCAGCACTTCATGAATTCTACCTATTGTTGTTTGTGGATTCTGCGTTTCAAAAAAAGCGATGCCATCCAATTAAGTTGTTATAATTATTATTTTTTAATTTCTCCACAGGAGCTGTTCGCTTTATGCACTCTTTGCTCGAACCTGATCCCACAAAGCGGCCTACTGTTAAAGAGGCAATGCAAGACAAATGGTTAGATTATAATATCAGCAAATCACCAAATGCATTCATATATAGAAATAGGTAATTACTGCAAATTTGTCATCCTTTATTTCTCCATTTTCAACAGTAATGAATTTGCTCAAAAAGGCTGTTCAGCCATGTGGTAAGAATGGCTTCACCTTTCTGATCATACCTTTCAGGTCCCATCATCCCAACAAGCTTGAAGCATTCTGTTTATGGGCTGTGTAGTATTTTCTGTTGTCATCATCCACAGAAGGAAGGTGATGCCTTGCCCTGATTCCTCCCTTTTAAGAACAACTTGTGAAAGAGATGAGCCTTTTACAGCCTGGGCATAATTTTATTTATTTGTTTATTTAGATTGAAAAGAATATCTAATTTCAAATAACTCCAAGCTCTGTACATAATAAAAAACAGAACAATAGCAGAAGCAAATTATAAGCATCCAAACAAACCATTACTCCTGTTCTAGTTGTTTTTGAGGGGAGAGGGGTTGGTACAGCCAAAGAACAGCAATTATGTCTCCTTTTGAGGACATAAAACAGAAATACAATTTATGATTTTAAAAAAAATCAATTTAAGAGAGAACAAAACTTCTCCAGAATAATGACAACTAGCTGGAATAAGATATTTGGCTCTCAAAAGATCATAAATAGTTCTTCAAACATCATTCTCCCCTATAACACTATGTAGAGATTCAGGCACAGTTATAGATAGATGAGGTCTGAGGCTCAAAAAAATTGGGATGATGCCAAACTCTATAACCTGCCCAAAGATACAAACATTACTAGGAACAATTGCCAGAATCAGGCAAATTCAGCCCCCAGGAAATAAAGCAGAACATCCTGATGAAGAGATGTAGCTTACTGATCAGTGATTTAACACTTACTCTAAACTCTGCTAAGAGTTTAACTCTGTTTCTTTCTGATTTCCAGTTATTTATTAGAGATGTAGGAGCATTTCATCGTGTACTTGGATCACCCTTGGGCTGACATGTCCCCATTTGAGTTACTTCTTGTCTCTATTATCCAGACAAACCAGTTGGGAGACCTTTGATTCACCATTCCTGAATTAATAGAACATGGACCCACTATCCAGAATTCTACTTTCCTTTATCTGAGAAGACCAATATCCCTAGGTGCTGTTTTAATTATCTCCTTCTGGCACTGCGGTCTCTTCCTCCCCCTTTCTCACACCTCAGAGCCCTGGTGGTGTAGTGGTTAAAGGGCAGTATTACAGGCAAACTCTACCCACAGCCAGGAGTTCAATCCTGAGAAGGCTGAAGGTTGACTCAGCCTTCCATCCTTCCAAGGGTGAGAAAATGAGGACCCAGATTGTTGGCAGCAATAGGCAAATAATGCTTCTACACTTTAAATTGCCCAGAGAGTGATGTAAAGTGCTATAAGGCCTAAAGGTTATTGCTATTGCTGTCTCACTCAATTCTTCCCCTCACATGTGCCTCAATCTGTCTCTCTCCCAAAAAGACAAGATGGGGCTGGCAAATTTCTTCCTGTTTTCGCTCAAATTATATAGCTCAAATCATATATCTCTTCTTATCCCTCCTATTTGGAGGCTAGGATTCTAAAAAAAACAATGTTTTTGTTCTCTTTACTGCAAAGGAAGATCCTGTGGGTCATCTCCCATAGATGTGCTTGCATTTGAAGTCAATATGAATTTTCCTGCCTTCCTGTTCTGTGGCATCTCTCATATATTGGAGATATCTGAGAGCTAAAAGGACATGTACGAAGGCAGGAGTGCTCTGCTTTAATATCAGTGATACAAAATGTAGTCTAAATCCAATAAAAAAACCCTTCTTAGAAAGAAAAATAGAAACTATTTGAGATATCACTTGAGAGTGTGGAAGATGACCTTGATACAAATATGCAAGAACTGCTTCCTAGGTGAAACGGGATGAAATATTTTTAAAGCCCAGGATAATGAGAGAGCATTCAGAAGCAGCTCAGTCAGATGGCTCCCTGAAGTATAAAAAGAAGGGATGGGATAGCACAATCAAACTCTCAAGTCTCTGTTATTCTAACCAATCTCAATAAAAGTAGTTTTAGCCTTCATGTGGAATTCATTTCCTGGCCTGGTCTGTCTAGCAGGACTGACATTAACAGCTCATTCAGCAGATTCTATTATGAGAATGAGTCATGAAATGTATTTCCACAGTGCTAAAAATTCACGGTAAGCATTCAGAAGCTCACATAGAAATGTTCTAAGTTCTAGAAACTGAGGGAGATTTCACTCTGAAATCCTTGGTGAATCTTTGTGTTACTGTTATGAGGGTTTGCCCCAAGATACAAGATAAATTTAGAACGAATTGTATAAGTGTGTGTGAGACGGGGGTGGGTGGGTGGGATGACGGGGGGGGGGGAACGACTGGTTGGAAAACTTGGTGAACTCAGGGAAGATTTTTCAGACTAAATTTTGAACAGAATTATACCACATTTTTCTCTGATATAGAAGTCTATAGCTCAGTTTATTGCAGCAACCTGAGCCAAACAGATTTGCCTATCCCTTAACCTCTTCTTTTCAGGCTTCGCCCAAATGAATTGAATCCGGTTGTTTTGAGTTACATGACAGAAATAATGGAGTTCAAGCTTTCAGATGTTGTGACTGTCCTGATTAAAAATAAGCCATCTTCCATCATGGCTACATATTACTTATTGCTGAAGAAATTAATTAGGTATCAGAGAGAACCTAGGACTGAAAAGGTAAGATATGACTTCATGGCATCTTTAAATTAATTAAGGAACACATTTTACTTATATCTTGGCTGTAGTCTGTTTAATTATTTATATAATATAATATATAATATTTATATTAATGTCATTACATATTTATTATATAAATATAATATACTTATATATAACATAAATATATTTATATCATACGTAATTAATTATTTATATAAATAATTCCACTGTTAATAAATGTAGGACTAGCATGATCATCTGGAGAACCTGAAATTGTAAAAAGAGATAAGTAATCCGACTAAAGCACCTTAAACCAACTAAACGAGTCTAGCAAGTCAATCTGTTGTTGAAGGGATTTGCTTCTTTTCATAGACCCATGCATAAGGTCAAGCCATGTGGTTAATGTACAATCTTGTCCAGATTATCTGTGAGAGGGACATAGCTCAGAGGTTCTTTTCCCTAAGAACAATAGAGTAATATACGATCTTTGGAAATGCAAGGCACTTCCGATGTATTTGAGGTTATCTCAGAGAAAGCTAATCAAATTTCCAGGAAGTAAACTTTTAAGATAATCTAGTTGGCCAAGAATAGATACAAGTTGATAGTCTGGTTCAGATTTCCCTACATTAACATCCTCCTATTGGATTACCAACTGAAGATTTCAATACCTGAGTTCAATCCTGATAACTAAAACCATAATTAAAGACATGCAGGTTTTTTAGCAATAAAGGTGGGTCATCAATGGCTTTTTCCAAAATTATTTAGTCTACAGCCTTGGTATATTTTAATATCCAATGATTGAACTTCCAAACAAGCTTGGCCAGTTATAATATCCTTAGTACTTGGAGAGTGGTATTTCTAGATTTTGGGAAAGACAGTCCTAATAGCTTTAAAAAAAAGAATGAGTTTGAAGAAGGTTCAAATAGATTATTCCTGGGTTTTTTAAAAAATATATTCTACTCTCACCCCATCCTCAAAAAGACCTGCTGTTAGTAAAATAAGAGCAAAGCAGGTCTATTTGTACAAATGTGGTTTTTAAATGGTTTTTCTGTGGCAGTATTTATAATAAAACATTGATAGATCTCTTTTTTTTTTACAAAAATAAAAATAAAAAATTACTGTCTTATGATAAGGAGAATAGCAACTATATTTACACATAGGAAGTATAAGCACTTGTTACTTAAGGGTAATGAAAAAATGCCCTAGTATGCTTCAAGTCATGCTCAATACTTAGTGGTTTTATGGAGGGGTTTACATAATTTACTTGGTAGCATTATGGATATCATTGCTACTACTTTTGTCTATGATGCTTTTCAAAAGCATCCTAAACTAACATATGACTTAAATCCCCAGCAACTTTGGGTAAATTTTATAACCACTACACAACTGAGAAACTATTGTAAGATAGCTATAACAGACACCAGCTCGCCACCGCCAGGTCACTTCTGCTAACTCACCACTGCCAAGTCACCATAAGACAACTCAATATGACCCATTCGCTGCAGAGACAACGCTGCAGGTAGCTAGAGGAAGAGCTGGGCAGCTGAGCAAGTAGATAGGTGAAGTGAAAAGTGGTGGCGGCAGCAGCCAGGAGCTTCCCACTTTCATATCCATTGCTGTGGCCACCACACCAAGCTCTGAGCCATTCAGAGTTCAGGATGTTCAGCAGGGGTGGCGGGACCTTGGCACAGTGGCAGTGGTGGGGGTGTGAAAATAGGACACACCTGGCCATCACCAGCATGTCACCTGCCATGCCTACCATCACCACTGAATGGCCTGAACACCATTGCCGTGACCAAATGGCCCAAACTCTGAATGGCCTGGAGCTTGGCTTGGTGGCAGCGGTGATGGCAAGGGTGTATGAAAATGGGATGCACCCAGTTGTCGCTGCCACCCTGTCCACTTCCCTGTCCACCCATTGCTCTGTGCTCTGTGCCCACCTGTTTGCTCACCTGCCTACCAAGCTCTCCCTCTGGTGGGAAGCCCCTGGCTGCCATCACTGCTCTGTGCTCTTCCCACTTACTTGTTTGCCTGGGTCTCCCTTTGACCGCCCACTGCAAGTTGTCCCTATGGTGAATTGTCCATGTTGAGTTGTTCTGCAGCAACTAGATGACATTGATTTGGCAAAGATGACTTGCCAATGATGGCCTGGCCATGCCAAGTTGTCCTAGATCCATACACACAAGTCCTGCTGTATTGTTTTGTCATGGTGAAGGGGTGTTCTTGGGAAGGTTGAGTGAAGAATGTTGAGAGTGTCTGTCAAGAGTAAATATTCCCAGAAGAATCACCTAAAGTGGAAAGATAATCCCAACTGCCCATCTGAAGTAAGCAGGCAATTAGAGTACACAGCAGTGATATAGGAAGATGGCAGAGACAGATGATCGCTTTATAATAATGGCAAAGGTATCAATTCATAGTGTGTGACAACAGGCTATGATAAACTCCTCCTGAATTTGTATCAAGAAAATCATATGAATAGAAATTAACATGTAATGTACTTCCTCATCCCTCACCCTTTTGTCCTTTCTCACACATACTGAACATACTCATAGCATTTATTTTCTGGCATGGATAGGAGATCCACAAACTCCTATTGGGGTTGTAAAATAAAATATGATATGAAGCATATTTAATATTCAAGTAGGGATGATATAGGGCTATTTAAGGATCCCTGACAGCATTAGAGGAAGATATGAAAGTGGAAACTGTCTATATCTTTCCATCGTCCATATCATTACCATTACTGATCCATTCCCAATAGTCCATTTTCTCTGTGACATTTGTTTATGCTATATGTGTTAGCAGTTAATTCATATTATTAGATTGTCAGAAGAGAAATAACCTTATTCATCTTCATTGTTCAAGGAGCTGCATTAATGAAATGGTTATCATTGAAAAATAATACCCTAGGGTGATCTTTCTTAGCTCTTTGAATCAATACTGACAGAATAATTTCCGACAGTTCGTTCATTCAAACAGTTAAAAATATTTAAGTTCTATAGCATATAAATATATTTCAATACACTAATGCTGGATGCTCTTGGTTTCAAATGTTCAAACAAACTTTTAATTGAAGCATAGATCTGAAAGTCATAATGGCTATTGAATTCAACTTTCTGCTCAATACAAAATCAATGTAAATTTTCATGACAAGTGACCAGCCACTTTGTGCTTTAACATTTCCACCATCACTATGGACAATTGTCTCCACTTACTCTTTCAGTAGAATCTATCTTCCTGTTGATGAAGAACAGGACCTGGTTTTTCTCTTCTTTTTCATGTACTTGAAGGATGCTATCATACTCCCCATTAGTTCTCCCTTTTCAAAGGATAACCTATGTAGTAGCACCAAACTGCTTCTTAGGTCTTAGTCTCCAGCCCCAACTCACTGCCCATCAACTTCATTTTCTTGAATTTACTCTAGCTTCTCTGAATCTTCTAAAAACATGTTATTCAAATCTGGTTGTAGTACTTAAGACAGGTTCTGATCAGTGCAGAGTAATGTCTTCAGTGAATATATTCTGTCTATTGGAATTTTAACCTTCATCAGTGGAACAGACTTTTTTTGTCACCCTATATGGCTCTCAAATCCACTCCAGAATATGGTGACAGGAGGAAGAACAGTTTAATCAGAACTTTGTTTCTGTAAGGTCAGCTGTTTACGCAAGAGTATCGTCTCTAACAGATGTGGTAGATGAGCATTTGAACTGTACCTATCACTTTTTTTTTCTTAGTTCCAAAGAACTGTAGTATGAGTGTTGAGGCAATGTGATTTCTCACACTAGATCTGGGAAATGTTATCCTGGGTCTCCTTCATCATCTAAGTGTTCTACTATGTTCTGCTTGTCCAATAAAACTCTCCTCTGGAAAAACCTTGAAAGTTTAATTTACGAAAGTTCACAACATCTCACTCTTTGTAATCTTGACTTCAAACAGCTGGTCACAAAAGTATCTGTGGAGATTCTGAGTCATCTAGGTTGTTTGTCCCAAAACTGCTTTTTCAAGAGGCAACTGGACTTTTTTGAACTGAAGGAAGTCTAGTCCAGTTGCCTGTTGAAAAAGCATCTTTGGGGCTCGTCACAAAAGATTTTGCTTTAGGCATGACAGTCATTTTTTTTTGCTGAGAAAAACCTAAGGGGAAATTTGGCTCTGAAGACTATAAGCAACCCAGAAGTTTTTCCATGATCACATTTGAACCGTTAATTATACATATAAAACAGGGCCTGTTCTATTACATCCTGTGATTTCTCCAAGCAACTTTTCTCCAACTTTTCTCTTTTCTCCAAGCAACTGCATTTTATGTCATTTGTTGTAGAAAAGATAGTCTAATGCCATCCAAACCCATCTAGTTCAGTTTTGCAGAAATAGTGGTCTTGCCAAAGAACTTCCTGTCCAGAAGCTTAACCAATTAGGTCTTACAAATTCATGGGAAATTTTCTGATGGACAGTAAATAAAGTGACTGTAAAAATCTTAAGATGAAACATTGATTTTTTTTTTAGCTAGGAGTATATAAAATTCTGAGATAGTCTTTAACTGAGTTGGCTAGAAATGCTTATGTTATCTCATATTCACCTCCACCTCTGATGTAGTACAGATGGAACAATGCATTTTTTTCCAAAACTGCTGAAGCAATTGTTTAAGAAGAACAGTTTTGACAATATCTGATGCAGATGGACTCATCAGAAAAGTTTCTCATCCTAGGTGTCTCTCTTCTTTCCTGAAGTCACAAAATACACTCAAAAGTGCATATACTATTCGTATGGTATATAATGCATATATATTATATATGTAAGTGCATACAAGTGCATATACTGTATATTTTATTAGTTTTAGTCAGGTTGTTGAAATGCAATGAGCATTGAGGTTCATACTACAATAGCCAGTTGTCAGATCAAACAGTTATGTAAATATGCCTTAATTATAAATCAGCCTCAGCCTCTGGTTGTAGAAATATCAAGTATGCATGCCTGAAAAGAATAGAGAATCTGTTTCAACTTTAGAAACTTAAATTCTATGTCTATGGAGACCCTCAATTATCCAGGTCATGGTTATTCCAGAGGTGCTTTTTCAAGACGCAGCTGGACTTTCTTTGTTTTTTCTTGAAGATGTTTTGCTTCTCATCCAAGAAGCTTCTTCAGTTAAATCCTTCCATTCTCTGCCCTTCAGTCAGAACTGAAAAAGCTTCTTGAATGAAGTGAAATGTCTTCAATGAAAAACAAAGGAAGTCCAGTTGCCTCTTGAAAAAGCACCTTTGGAGTTTAAGATGTATGGACATCAACTTCCAGAATTCCCCAGCATGCTGGGAGTTGAAGTCCACATATCTTACAGTTGCTAAGTTGAGAAAGACTAGTTTATAGTAGAAGCCAGTCCCAAGTTTTCCCATTCTGGGAAAAAAGATTGAGATGTGCCTGGTGAATATAATCTAAATCCATTGGGTAGGGAAGGTTAGCTGAGAAATGGTATTGAGATTATTTTAGCCACCTTGATTATTTAACTTTATAATTTTTTGTGCATCAATGTAAGCTATAATCTGTCTTGTGAGGAATCAGAAAGGTAGCCTATTCAGTTAGAAATAACAATCATCTATTACTAGTATTCCAATACTGTTGGAATACTATTATACTATTCATAGAATTAAAAATAGATGCCTGAATTAACTTATCACTTTTCATCTCCTTTTTTACTTCCCTTTATACTGAGAACCAATTTGGTGTAATGGTTAGTATCAGGTTAGAAACTAGGAGACTGTGAGTTCTAGACCTGCTTTAGCCCAAGGTCACCCAAGTTGGGTAGTCCCTTTTTCTCAGTCCTAGGAAAGAGGCAATGACAAATCACTTCTGAAAAAGTCTTGCTGCAAGAACCTTTCCAGGAAGTCTTGAAAAACCAGACCCGATTGAATGAATGAAAACAAAAATAATATTACTGTGTCTGATGTGTTTGCAGAAAGATCACGAACCAGAAAAGCTTCATGGTGAGCATTCTGGAAGCATAAGTCAAGATGCAGATGTTCCAGTTTTACAGAAGACAAAAATGGCTATAGTAGAAAAATGGAAGAGTGGCAACAATAAAGCATTTCATTCCACTCTCAGCTCAAAAATGCCATATGTTACCAAGGAGGATGACATTGCAGTTATTCTTGAAAATCAAGAAATTTTACCAGAAGGTAATGTGTTTTTTGATAGTCTTGAGGATATTATAAATGTATAATAGTGGCAGGGAATAAGACGCCTAACAGAAGGCAGAAAATTAATTACACGTGTTATAATTGTTGGAATATAAAGCATGAAAGGGACTTGCATATAAAGGTTGATAATCTCAGTTGATATGTGTGGCTCTATTCATGCCTTCATGGAGCCCATTATTTCATTCATTACTGCCGTGTACTGCTAACAAGAATGTGCAGTTGTTTGTCTAAAAGTTAAGCTAAAGATTTTCATAAGAGACAAAAAAACAGAAAAATAATGGAAAGAAATGTTATTGGGATAGAGTAGCATTATTCTGAAATATGTTATTGCTATTTTTTTTTTTTGCAATCTTGAATTGTTTGCTAAGTCTCCATGATCCTCTGAATCTTGCCAGCTTTGTAATATGAAAAGTTCATTAGAAACATTGGGTTGGATCCAGATATTTATTCCACTGATGAGAACTTCTGGAATAGTTAAATTCCCTCAGCATCTACATTGTTTTCTTTTCATTTATGAAACTGGATCAGTGTTTGAAGTGACTTATGCAACTTCAGCAATGGATTCCATTATTCTTTACTTAGACAGTGAAAAACGTGTTTTTTTTTCCAGTGGATCAAATGCTTTCAACTACTGGAAGGAGGATTTTTATTCCTGGGAATACTTTATTGGATCCAATCTATTATTTATGGGAAACACAGTGTACTCTAAGGATAGATAATTTATTTAGAATTACAATCCTCCACACAGAAATAGAAATAAAAACAATTTCTTCACTTTCCACTCCAAAGAACTTAGAAGGTTTTATGAACAGTGTAAATAAAAAAAAACACAATTCAGTTATTGTTCTTTTTTAACCAAAACCTTCAAAATTTCCTAAGGCAGGACAATAAAACTGAAAGAATATTAAACTCATTATGGATTCACAGCATCGTGTTGAGTATAGCAATAGAAAAAGCTGCACCTGGCATATATCTACCATTCAATCCAGGATTTTATAGTCTCGTTAAAACCCCCATCGCCACATATTCTGTCAGCCAATATTTCTGAATAATGTTCAAAGGCAGCATGGGATAAAGAAAAAAAAAATAGCCCTTACAATGGACAAAAGCCCGTAAAGGTGCAATTGTCATAGTAAATTATACTGAGAAAAAGGCAAACATTTTTGGTCAGCATTGCAGTTGTAGGTTCAGAACTACTTCCATTCTGTGAACTCGTTCTTCTTTAAGGAAGTTTTGTCCAAAATTGATTCTACACAAAGATTTCATCATGGATTAGAGGGAGTTAATTAATGTTTTTTCTTGTCTGGGATCAAAACATTTTAATAGATAAAATGAAAAAATAACTTAAAAGGACAAATAATTTATAGAGCTTCTTAGAGGGTTAAATGTTTGCCTGATGTGACAATTGCAAAAAAAAAAAAAAATAGTGACTCAGCACAATGTAGCAAATTAGCAAATATCCATACAGGAGAATGTTTATTCTAACCTGCTAAATTATCTCACCATTTTCCCAGTTAGAAGGAAGATTTCCCCAAAATCTGGTGCAGGAGTGACTTTGTTATCCCTCTGGGGAAATAGAAACAGTTTCTCTCATGCTCTTACAATATCCTTTCGGTGTGGCATGGGAAATAGGAATAAATACCTTTTTTATGCTACAGCCATGCTAGTTCTGAGGAGATGACAGGACATGTTTCCATACAACTGATTACTCAACAGATATCTTTAGAATTTATTTGTAATCACTCTAATCCTATTCCTCGAAGTTGCCTCTCCTGAAGTAACATGCATTATTTAATAAAATAGAGAATGAAAAAAAAATCCTGATGTGGGGCTAAGCAATAATCCTTAATGCTTTGTTAAACACCGTTTGAATTCTTGTTTGTTAAATTTTTAAAAGAACTTTCAAAATGCTATAGTAGCACTTAGACTTAGACCCCATAGTGCTTTACAGCACTCTCTGAGCAGTTTAGAGAGTCTGCATTTTACCCCCAACAATCTGGATCCTCATTTTACTGACCTTGAAAGGATGAAAGTCTGAGTCCCCTTGAGCCGGTCAGGATCGAACTCCTGGCTGTGAGCAGAGTTAGCCTGCAATGCTGCATTCTAACCACTGTGCTACCATGGCTGTGATTAACAGAGGTAAAGCAGATGTTCTTATTTGGATAAGAACATTTGGATGTTTATAGACTTAAATTTTTCATTACCTGATTTCACTCATTCTGTGTTTTTTTTAGCTTCCAAGTTCTCAGGCAGAGAATTGATTTGTTTTGATCTCCCTAAATCTCCACGTAATTCATGTGGGCCATTCAATGAGACACAACTTGAACCACAGGAAAATGAAGAAGATGTTAAAGATTGGCCAGAAGTGAGAAAGTTGTATTTATTGGAAAAGCCATCTTCTGTTCTAAGAAATAACCCAAGATATGCTATGAATCATGAGACTGAGAAGTCTTCAGTGTCATATATATGTAGACTAACACCAAGATCAAGAAATGAAAACAGAATTGTAGATCAAGATCCTACAGTTTTTCCTAACACAAAAGTCAAAGATCTCTTAAAAGCAATGAACGAGAACCTTCTAGCTCCAAAGTGGCAACATCAAGAAAGAAAGAGTTCTGCTTTTCTGGTTATGGAAACACCTCAACTCTCCCCTTTACCACAATTGAAACCAGGTGCTGCAAAGGATCACATTATAAAAAAGATCTCATGGTTGGGATCCTCCCAGCAGGAGTCCATTGGCTCACGTTTTTTTGTTAGTGTTTCAAGACCACCAGTTTTTCCAGTAGCACATGAACACACTTTCACGGTAAGAAGTTTGAGGCAATCTAAACAAAAGTCCAATGACTTTTTTAAAAATGATAAAATAAAAAGAAATGTTCCACTCAAATACACAACTAAGGATGCAGACTTAAATCTTCCCACGTTATCTCCACCCTATCAAACATCTGGGAAAAAGTCTGAGATTTTAAGGCTAGATTTTGCATAAACAAAATGATTTTTTTAAAAAAGCACATTGATTGGAAAACAATGTACAAGTTCACTAAAGAAACTGAGAACTTGTTGATTGGAAAATGGGAAATGGGAAATAATTAGTTCACTGAATGTTCAATAGATGCATCTCAGGTAATGAATAAAAAAGTTTGCACTTTATGACAAAGAAAAAAAAGAAATAAGAAATCCATCCTTTGAAGAAGACCAATGGCAAAAAAAGAATAATATATTTCATCTGGTAGTTTCTGTTTCTGTCCTTTTATTCACACACAGAATGTGCCAAATAACTGATTATCTGATTATTTTTACTTTTAAAAAAGTTCTACAATTGTACTTAAATGCAATTGATTTATGAAATGTACTGCTATAAGAATTTATATTCATAATGATATGGTGTATTCTAAAAGCTAAATATTGACCAACAAATGTAAATTTGAGTATGTGATAGGTTTTCATGCCACAGAGAATCTATACATACACTATCTCCATATATAAGTAAGGCTTCCAGCCTTGAACCACAAGACTCCTGTGTTAAAACTTAGGTAGAATTCACAGTTAACACCACCCAGTGATTTACATTCAAAAGGAACTTGTTACCATCAAAGTCTCTTCAATCAAATTTGATACATAATTAAAGATTAATACAGTTTAGTATATTTTAATATAGGTTTGATGTAGGTTATAATGAAAGTCAGATGTCATGCAAAAGCTTTAGAGTACAACTATTAATCAGGAATCCATATTGTCAAGATTGCTCAACCTCAAATCCACATTGTAGAACAGAATTAACAGTAACATCCCCCATCCGAGGTGTAGAAAGGATTCCTGAAGGTTTCTCAAGGATCTTAGAAATACAGAAACACCTTCTCAATGAGGCTCCTGGAGTTTCAGCTCCTCCTGTGCAACTTCATGGACTCTTGTACCAGTGGTGGGGTTCAAATTTTTTTACTATTGGTTCTCTGGGCGTGGTTTGGTGGGTGTGGTGTGGTTTGGTGGGCGTGGTTTGGTGGGGTGGCTTGGTGGCAGGGGAAGGTTACTGCAAAATCCCCATTCCCACTCCTGAGGAAAAGTTACTGCAAAATCCCATTCCCTCCCCACCCTACTAACCTGCTTTCCATCTCCGTTCTCCTGTGCAGGGAAACAAAGGAAGACCCAGCTGATCCATCTGGGACTCAGGAGGCAGAGATGGGGGCGGGGCCAGTCAGAGGTGGTATTTGCCGGTTCTCTGAACTACTCAAAATTTCCACTACTGGTTTTCCAGAACTGGTCAGAACCTGCTGAATACCACCTCTGTCTTGTACCTTATCTGGTTAGTTGTACAGCTGACACTATGGGAATCGGTTTCTTATGTCACTGAGGGAAGGAGGAGAAAAGCTTGAAACTATAGACTTAGAAACTCTGCAGTCCCGGAATGCTCCATAATCCTATGCATTCTCTCTAGTTGAATAGCAGACAGGAAAGAGAAAGAAGATGTCGGTCAAACTTATTTTGCAGGTAACAGTAATCACATTAAGCCACATCTTTCTGATAGTTTATTCTGGTCACTAAAGAGATTTCTCCTGAGAACACACAACGGATTTGTCTTTTCTTTCAAAATCCAAAGCTCATTTGCCTTGGCGAACAAAAAATAAAAGTGTATGTTTATTATTTATGCATTTAAAATGAATAAATGTTAATATTTAATGGGCTCAAAGAATATATCACTTTGAATAAAGGTCTGTGGATGTTGTTGTCAATGAGCAATTTTATTTAATAAAAATAAATAAATAAATATAAATATAAATATTTCAGGCAGTGTCTCCTTAAAAACGTCATATCTGGAAAAAAAGCTGCTTCTCTGTGAAACATACTATGAAATAAACAAGGTAAATATTTGAATGGCCAACCTCTTTGTCCCATCAAAGAGAGCCTGTGAGCATAAAGCTGCTCCATGGTGTTACACTGAGCAGGAATAAGCCACCCATAGAGATCTAAAAGTATATAGGGTGTAGGGAATGGTTTTGAAGGACAGGAGGGCAGGAGGAAGAGCTGCTACCAAAGCAATGACCAGAGAAGCACAGCTTGAGCCCATGTCTCAGACAGGCCTCTCTGTGATTCACATCAAGACATAAATGAGGCAGGGGAAGCACATTCAGACTTGCAAGCTTCTATTGCTAGAGCTCTTACAATATAAAGTTGTTCTAGACCTATATGGCATGGGTTTACTACAGGTAATCCTTAACTTACGACCACAACTGAACCCAAAATTTTTGTTGCTAAGTAGACCATTGTTAAGTGAATTTTATCCCATTTTATGGCTTTTCTTGCCACAGTTGTTAAGTAAATCACTGCAGTTGTTCATTTAGTAACACGGTTGTTAAGTGAATCTGGCTTCCCCATTAACTTTGCTTGGCAGCAGGTCGCAAAAGGTGAATATATGACCCTGAGATCCTGCTACCATCATAAATACGAGTCGGTTGTTAAGCATCTGAATTTTGATCATGTGACTGTGGGGATGTTGCAAAATGATCATAGGTCATAAAAGAATCTCCATAGTCATTTGGTCATAAGTCACTTTTTCAGTGCTGTTGTAACTGAATGGTCACTAAATGAACTGTTGAGACAACACTTCCTAGCTGATCCTAGATTATACCATTTAAGATGGAATATGCAATGCCTCTGTAAGACATTCATTTTATAAATTTGAACAACAATGTTCTCCATGTCTTTCAACTGTTTTACCACCCTGTCATCTTCAGTTGCTTGACTCTATTACATAAACTGGCTGGAAATGTAACTGGTTTAAGAACTCTTTCCAAATTTCATCCACAGTGATGGCCTGATGTGCTATGGCCACAGAGGACAGCAACAAATAGCCACGAAAGAAGGGTGACTTTGCCACAGAACATGGTAGCTGGCATGGGGACACAGAGTCCTATAATAAAATGAAGCATTCCAATGAATCAGACAAAAGGCCCAAGCTTTCTCCTGACAACTAGTGAGAAAAAAACCAGGCAGTGGGTGCATTCCTGATGGGTTTGGAATAGATAGAGGGCAATGTTGTGTTTCTCTTGCCTGATTATGCAGCCTGCATTTATACTGGGAAAATCTAGCTATGCAGATCAGCCCTAAGATGTAAGAATGCAGAACAGACCAATTTGGTAGTTCAATAGAACATTCAACCACCTTGTTGCATGCAATCAGAATGCTTCAGTACATTACTACATATGTATCAAACAATATGTGTTAGTGTATAGTTAATCTCAGGGTGAATATGAAGTTATAGATGCCTGCATTTTCCAGAACCTCAAAGAGAACTACACAGATACTGCCATTTCTTCCTTCTTTCCTTCTGTTAGTATTGGAGAACAACCATCCCAGTTGGGAGAGGGGTGTCAAATGGGGAATTAGCCTTGACTTGCTATATAAACACAAGAGGGCAAGCCCTCCTGAATGCTTTCGAGTCGTATCTAGTCTTTCCCAGGTGAAAGCTGCCAATCTGGAGAGATTCCTGTATTATAGACAGAGAGCAATAAAGCAGAGAGTCTGAACTCAACAGTTGTGGATCTGGATGTTCACACCTGACAGATAGTCAGATAAAAAGAAATAAGAAAGAAGGATGTTTTCTCAATTTTGTATATCATAGAGATGAAAAAAAATAATTCTTTTCTACAGAACAATTAATTCTGCCCTCTTCTATTGTGTTGCTCTAAACTCTTATTCCAGTTTGAAACAGTAATACCACTACTGAAGAAAAAACTTCAATATTAGTGTGCTATTATCTTAGATCTAATGCCTTGATACACTAACTGCAAGTGTCAGTACTCCTGTCCAGTTGCTTAAGCAACTATAGAAGAGCAAATTGAGTAAGATTGCTATAAAGAATTCAGACAAAAATGTCTCCATTTATCAACAGGTCTTTTTCTTGAACATAAGATAAAAAAACCAGAATTGACCAAGGAACTTCTACCGTGTTTCTCATAAAATAAGGCTGGGTCTTATATTTTTTTGAGCCCTGAAAAGACGGCTAGGCCGTCTTTTCAGGGGTGACTTAATTCCCCCCTTGCATTCTCATCTAGAGCACCCCATGGGCAGCCTCTCCACCAGCCGCTCCTAACGGGTGATCATGGCAAAGCACAGAGATCTCCCTACTCCCACCAAACACCTTTGCTGCAGACCCAAGACCTTTGGCACCTGCCGCTGTTGCTTTCCCTTCTGCCCATTACGCTGCCACGTTTGGAGCTGCCGCTTCCATGTTTGGAGTGCCGCTGCCATTTGGAATGCCACCGCCATTTGGAGCACTGCCATCATGTTTGGAGCTGCCACTTCTGCATTTTGAGCTGCCACCATGTTTGGAGTGGCGGCGGCGCTCCAAATGGCGGTGGTGCTCCAAACAGCGGCAGTGCTCCAAACGTGGAAGCGGCAGCTCCAAACGAGGCGGCAGTTCCAAATGCGGACATGGCAACTCCAAACAGCGGCAGTGCTCCAAACAGTGGTGGGGTTCCAAATGTGGAAGCAGCAGCTCCAAATGCGGAAGCAGCTCCAAATGCAGAAGCGGCAGCTCCAAACAGCAGCAGTGCTCCAAACAGCGGCAGTGCTCCAAACGTGGAAGTGGCAGCTCCAAATGCAGTGGCAGCTTCAAATGCAGAAATGGCAGCTCCGAATGCGGCAGTAGCTCCAAATGTGGAAGTGGCAGCTCCAAACGTGGCAGAGGCATGGGCAGAAGAGAAATCAACAGTGGCGGGCACTGAAGGTCTTGGGTCTGCCGCAAAGGTGCTTGGCAGGAGTAGGGAGCTCTCCGTGCTCCACCATGATCGCCCATTAGGAGCAGCTGGTGGCGAGGAATTGCTGCCCATGGGGCGCTCCTAACGGCAAGTCCCCCCGCCCTTCCCCCCATTTTGCATGTTTCAAAATAGGCCTAAATTTGGGGGGAGGGGCTTAATTTGATTTTATGCCTAGAAAACATGCTGGGTCTTCCTATTGGGGGAGGTCGTATTGTTGGAGAAATGCAGTAGC